CTGTTCGAAAGGAGCAGCTGGACTATATGTCGCGCCTGATAAGCTCTGTGGTAGAGATACAGACAGCGATACGGCTTCGTCCGTATGAGGTGCTGGAACTGCATGCTCCTGGGCCGACGGGTTCGATCCGTTCAGCATACCCGTCTGGCCCTGCAGGATACTGTACAACCCGTCCAGCTTCTCCTCAAGCTTCTGGACATCTTTTGCAGAGGCTTTGGCCACGACCCGGCGCTTACGCACAGGAGGCGATGGCTGGCAGGTCTTCCGAAGGCGTACACACCTTCCGCAACTATCAGCATCGCCAGGATATACTATCAATAAGAGCGGACCAACCGTTCACATGTCCCGGAGGCTCCACTGAGGGCACATCTCGTCTTTGCTCGAACACAGTTTGTACAAGCCCGTACGGTTGGCATTTTGACTCAAGTTACACGGCTACACAGGCATTGTACTCGTTGTCAGACAAGATAAACTACTGCTGTTATGCGGGCATGGGGGCTGAACGGAGCGGAGCCTGCGAGACTCCGACTCCGATGCTTGTATTGTGAACGGATGTCTTACGTTGGACTTTGCTGTTGGTGGTTTTTTAAGACCTCTCCATGACTATTCAACCTCTAAACGCATTGATTGAGTGAATAACGATAGAGTGGAACTCTATAACCACTGTATTGAACCTCGCGATACTCGATCGGTCCGATGCAGATCAGTAAGTAGAGATGGAGATAAGGTGTGGATAACTATTATGCTCCGCACAAGCTAAGCTGACTCACCAGCACATCACATGCTCCGCACTAGTTAACTATTATCAACATCAACTGACCGGAATCAACTTCCTGATCTTATTCCACCTCTACATCTATCTACACCTCAGGCCTCCGGTCATGGGCATGGGCTGCCAAGGGAGACATGTCCGAACCCTCTAGGAAGCGTTCCCGTGTTGCCTGCACACTATGCCAATCGCGCAAGCGCAAATGCTCCGGCGACCAGCCATGCACAACATGCGCCCAGTTCGGCTCCGACTGCCACTATGACCTCCAATCGCGCAGAAAGCGCGATGCCAGACTATTCCAGCTGCAGTCCGCCGCACCGACAGAATCTACAGCGGCCCCTGATGCAGCGCATCCTCCGCGCCACGAGCCCAAGATCTCCCCAGAGGAGACGGCAGCGCGGCTCAGCTCGCTAGATGCCAACTCCGGCGCAGCATTCGCCAGGCGCCTCGGCCTCAAGGTCGATCCCACCAATGCGCCCAAGATGCATCTATTCGCATGGAACGTGGGCGCACGCCATCTCCCACCTCCATCAATGCCACCACCATCCGCTCCCAAAGCAGTCCCCATCGTGGACACCATCTCGCAGGACGAGATGCGCTCCCTGGTAGCCATCTTCTTCGACAAAGTCGACCCATGCTACCCATTCATCGACCGGGACACCCTCCTCCGCCAAGTCAGTCGCCGCTGGCTCCCACCCACCGCCGACTCGGCCCTCCTCTACGGGCCCTACGACGCCGTCCTTGCCGGCGTCGCAGCCTTTGGCTACCTTTTCTCCCGGAGACAATCCAGCGCAACAGAGCTCCAACTGGCGGAGACAGCCCGGCTCATCCTGGACCAAATAATGCTATCAGACACGACCCCCACCCTCGACACCGTAACAGCATGGGTCCTCCGCGTCTCCTACCTCCGTCTAACCTCGACCCCGAACCTCGCCTGGACAGCCAGCTGCACCCTAATGCACCTCATCGAAGCAACAGGCCTGCACCTCGAGCAACCCTCCTCCGACGCCATCAACCAACTCCCCACCCCAGTCGACCCAGACCTCCGCCGCCGCCTCTTCGGCATGGCCCGCCATCTCAACGTCTGGATCTCCTTCGAGCTCGCCCGCTCCCGCGTCGTCCTCCACGGCGCAACCTCCCTGCCTCCGACGCCACGCGTCCCAGGCACCCTAGAAATCTTCACCCTCTTACCCATGTCCGAAAGCCTCGACCCAAACACAAACAAAACCACCGACCCTCCAGACCTAGAATCCGCCCTCCGCAACGTCCTCGACCAAACTCATGTCTTACCCCAGTTGATTCTCGTGCAATGTAACCTCATGCTATGCATCTACAGGCGTCTGCGCGCCCTGAACTGCATTATCTCCGGGGACTTGCTGGACCGCGTGCTGGCACTCTCCGTGAAGGGTCTGCAGGCCGCGCGGGAGATGGTCGCGACGACTTGCCCGTGGCATCAGATCGCGAACGTGCCATTTCAGGTGGTGTGCACGCTCCTGGCGATAGATAATCGGGCGTCGTTGGTCATGTTGGGCGGTGCGATGCGCACGCTGCGTGAGGTGGCGGCCGCGTATGATACGGAGGTGATGCGCGAGGCGTATAGTACGGCGTATTTGCTGATTTTGTTGCATCAGCGAAGGAAGGAGGAGGATACGAAGGCGTTGAAGGATGTGCTCAGGGTCAATTCGGGGGCGGGGGCGGACCAGATTGAGATGGGCCTTGGGGGTACTCCTGGTACTGATGCTGGTGGTGGTGGTGATTCTACGGAGCCGCATCATTCGCTGGCTGATTATCCAGGGTTCTCATGGTTGAGTGATCTGCTGATTGATATTCCTAGTTTGGGCAGCTTTGATATGGAGCGGTTTATGTACACTGATGTATAGCGGCGGCAGATTGTTGCCTTAAAACACATCCTCAAGGTTGGGATGTGTGGGAGGGATGATTACTGCGACTTCTTCTCCTTTTCGCTCTTCTTCTGTCCGGAGGATCGCGCCACACTACCCAGCTTCCACAACACCCACAGCAAGCCTAGAACAATCGCTGCCATCGTGCCCAGCTCCACCGTCTTGCTGCTGAAGAATCCGCCCTCTTCTAACCGGAGCACCGGCACATCCAATTCTTCAACATGTCGGGCTTTCTCTCCACTAGGATGCACCTGGTAGAACATCGTCCGTGGGCCAAACATACCATCCCAGCCTAGGTTCACACGATCGAACGGGTTCGTGCCCATCTTCGTGCCCTCTTCCGCTGTGCAAGCCCAGAATACTACCGGCCACGGCACCCCCGCGGTGCGGTACCCAGTCTCCGACGGCCGCAGGTACCGCAGATGCAGCGGCACCGTGACATTCCACTCCTCGGGCACCTGGCCTTCAGGCGGCGTAGCCAGCTCAAGCAGCCAATTTGAACCCCAGTGCGGGACAAACCAATCTGGGGCCTCCAGGTCCGTTGCTCCGCTTACTGCCCGCAACGCCACTAGATGGTGCGACTCCAGGAACAGCGGATCATCCGTGCTCAGCTGGTACTTATCGCCGAAGATATACGACGGCAGCGTCAAATACGCATGCAGCGCACAGGTTGTGTCCTCCGGCGCGGCGGGATATTCCAACGCAGCGGGGGACAGCGAAATGGTCATGGTCGGATGCGTGCCCGTCGGACGGGGGAAGGAGACATCGAAAGTCGCCTCGCGAGGGAGGACATGGTGTCTGGATGGGAAGGAGAATAGCGTGGGTTCTGAACTGTCAGCTATCACCCCCTCAACAACACACAGAAATGAGAGGAAGAGAAAGGATACATACTCAACTCCTTATCCACCCCGACAACACCCAACAACCCACCAACCTTAATCTCCTCCGCCTCGACCGCCTTCTCCGTCCCCAACAACCCAACTTCAACCCGATCACGACTCTCCCCCGGCGCACGAATCTCCTCCGTCCATCCCTCCGGAGTACTAGGCTGGCCCCAGTACCCGGAGACCACCAGCGACCGCGACACCGCATCATAGTCCACATCAATACTATCAGCGGAGCCCCAATCCGCAGCGCACGCAGAACCCTTCCCGCGACAGATATTCTCCACGATGTACTCCCCAAGATTATGTTCCGGCAGAGCGGAGTGGAATTGATACGTGGACGTGGAAGCGAATCGCGTAGATAGGACAGGCGGAGTAGTGAACGAGTCCTGCATATACCAGAATCAGCATCACATACTGTTCATACCCCACAAGTAGAACTGAAAAAGAAACACATACCGTATAATTAACACACTCAATCCCCGTCGTCCCAAACATCCTCCTTAGAAGACGACATACTCCTTCCCCATCCTCACCCCCCTCTCCAGAGGATTGAAGAGGAGAAACCCCAACCCCCACCCCAGCAGAAACCCTACTCCCGAACGGCGCCACAACCACATACGGATCTTCTCTCGCCCAGCGAATATGTACTTCATGCAAACTGCTTAGAATACCTCGGACCTGAATTCATGTTATCCACACCACATGTATTAGCTATGTATCTTGATCAAGATAGTAGTAGATGAACGTATGGGTAGTAAGAAAGAAAGACCATATACCCACCTCATGATCAGATATCTCCGCCAGGTCAACTGTAACCCGAACTTCCTTCGCAGCATCCAGATCACTGATTCTTAGGGATGTCGGGGTGAGGCTTGCTTGGGTGGAGGTGAATGGCGAGGAGGGCGGTTGGAGGTAGGTTATTCTTGTTTTCATTTTCCTTTCTTTTTTCTTCTTCAAGATATTTATTGGTGGTTAATTGGTTATGAGACGAGATGAAAGGGTGGTAGTCAATTGAGTGAGATGGGTTAATAGTATGGTATTGAGTGAGTGCTTTGGTTGGTTTGCGGAGATGGAGCGAGCTGGCTGGAGCTGGGGTGAGGTGTGATGTTGTTGTTGACCGCTATCTTATCGATAAGCGTAGCTGCTTACCATGCCTGTTTTGGATGGGACGGACATGTGATCATTATGATAAGATATGCTGGTTTTTGTTCTACTAGTATTATCGGAATCTCCTTTCTGTAGTATCTGATAGTAGCATACATTAACAATTTATCACACTCATACAGGTATATAAGCTTTTATTCCAAGCTACTACTGCTTCATCATCATCACTCATCACATCACGGAACCAGCCGCACGCCCAACGCCATAATGCTAACAGACCAGCGAAATGGGAATAGAAATAAACAGAGACAATAGGAGTATCAGAAAGGGAAAGAAATATCACGGGAGAACGTCCTTGAGAATGTCCTTCTGCGACGCGCTCAGACTAGCTGGGAACCGCACATTCACCCGAACCACCAGATCGCCGCGCTCGCTGGGCTTCTTCGAGATCGTCATGCCCAATCCTGGGAATCGTTCTTCGTGTCCGGGCTGTGTCGGGCCGGGCTTGGATACTCGGATAGATTTGCCGTCAATTGTGCGCACGATGCGCTCCCAGCCGGTAAGCGCTTCTTTCAGACTGAGCTCGACTGTTGTGACGAGGTTGTCGCCTTGGCGTTTGAAGTTGGGGTGTTCTTTCTGCTGGTTGTTAGTATTGACTAAGGTAAGATGAGTTTAGGGTGGGGATGCCTACCTCAGTCACAATCAGATGTACGTCCTGCCGACCACCCTCCTCTTGATCGCCTACTCCCCGGTACTTAATCTTCGAGCCGGTCCGCAGACCCGGCTTGATATTCGCTTCCAGCGTCACATCCTGCACGGTGCGCTTGCCGCTCGCATCAAACGTCTTGCTCTTGACGGACACCTTCTTGGTCGTACCGCGCATCAGCTCCTCCAGCGTCAGCGGCAGCTCCTTCTCCATGACCGTAGGCTCGGGCGTGGGCGCGCGCTGCGACGATTGCTTGAATCCGCTAGGCCCGCGACTATTCCGGAAGTTCCGACCGCCGCCGAGCCCACCTCCCAGCATCGAGAAGATATCGTCATCATCCATACCGCCGCCCATACCACCACCCATACCGCCCATGCTGCCTTTGGCAAAGTTCCGGAAGATATCGTCTGCATTGCTGAACCGGAACCCGCTGCCGCCGCCGCCGGGACCAGTCGAGAAGTGGAATGTCCGGGTACCGCCACCGCCGCCGCCAGGCATGCCGCCGAACGAGAAGCCGCCGGGCATGCCACCTTCGAAGGGGTTGGGACCGTCGGCACCACCGCCGCCGCTGGACGGTGGGGGACCACCACGAAGGAGATATTCAAGGCCGAATTGGTCATAAACTTTTCGCTTTTCAGGGTCGGAAAGAACCTCGTATGCCTGGGACACCTCTGTTGAAAATTAGCACCATTGGCCTAAAATGGGAGGCTGGGGCGGGGTAAGTAGAGTCAGAACATAACAGAACATACCTTTGAACTTTTCCGAGGCGGTCGGGTTATCCTTGTTCTTGTCGGGGTGATATTTCAATGCCGCCTTACGGTAAGCTTTCTTAATCTCGTCCTGCGAGGCATCGGGCCTGATCGAGAGGGCATCGTAGAGTTTCGTTTCTGCAACCATTGTGGAGTCGATTGGCGAGGGCCAGAAGATAGGTCAAAGGAACGGGAATCACGAAATCGACAGACGCGGTAGAAATGTGATGCACAGCTCTAATTGGCGAGTCCAGACACCATATAAGCACACCACGAGGGGGTCACACCACGGGGTGAGATGGGAGAATCGAGGGGAGGGGAGCAGAGTCTCGAATGACGTAGAAGATTCAGCGATCCGCGATCCGATCAGAGTATATCGACGGGTGTTAATGTAGGTTATATAGGTGTGATTTCAAGACATAAGGCACAGTGAATGATGTATCTGAAGGATTAGCGGAGAAGCCAGGTGTGAGGACGAGGGCTGATGTATAGTGCAGCACCGGCGGCTTTCAGGTGAGCCTGCGGTGACGTGTGACGTTGACCGCAGCGGTCGACCAATAGAAGGTTCGAGAAGGTTCGATGGCCGCGAGGGAGGGGTCAACCCGTGATGCCATACGGATTGTTCGGGTGATAGCAGTGGAGGTAAGACTAGAAGGGTCCAGCCGGTGGATATAGGAGTTTGACAGCCAGATGGAGATATTGAGATGGACTGATGGAAATGAGCTGAGATGCTTCAGTCTTCCATTTTGGGCAGTCAGCCGGCCACTTGCCAGATCGAGCTAGCATCATAGATACGTATGAATATTAGTCAGCTATATCTTTATGCAGTGTATACCATCTATATCACAACCAACCACCACACTATCAACATTGCACTTGACATCAGTGTCCCAACGGGGCCTGTGCCAACTGATCACCTTCTCCACTGAACGATCCCTGAACCTCAACATCATCAACAACAACCCAATCCCTAATCACCGCCTCCCCACTCAGCACCCGTTCAATCTGCTCATCCGTACAAGTCGAATCCATGGCCAACAAATAGCACGTCGGTTCAGGGCTCTCCGGCACCTCATTCTTAACATGCCACGTCGACGAGGGTCCCTCCGTTCCATAGTCCTGATTCTCAACCAGGGAAATTCCTCCTGTCGCGATATCCCAGTTAAACTGAGCCCGATTAAAGATCTCATACGCCGTCTCAGGCTGATAGAACGGCACCTCATGGCCCGCCTGAAAGACACGCGTGAATGAGAAGTTCCCATACTGCCTGACCAATCCCCCTACATAGGATGACTTTGTCTGCACCTCTGCATACCCAGCAGCCCGGAACTTCTCTGCTTCAGCATACTCCACCAGCAGACTGACATCTTCCCCGCCGCGCCACGGACAGGCATAGTCCCGGTCCCCATACACCATAGCCACCTTAACACCAGAGTCAAGCAAGTACCCAATATCCCCGATCATCCCGCGGGGATCATTGCGAGGGTAATCACCCGTCGACTCGAAGCTGTCCCCCACTGCCTCTGATGACATGGTATAGTTCACCGGGACCCCGAGCGCCTTCTGCACCCACGGGCGATTCAAGAACCCGACGAAGTAGGGCACGAGCGCCGCATCCGGCGTGAAATGCGCTATATCGTAGTATCCCCTCCCAGAGGTATTCGTATACAAGCTCTTGATCTCCCTCAAACAGTACTCCGACGCCTCCGTGCAGATACCATTCACCGTCTCATTATCCCCATACATGAGAGGATCCCCAAGCTCGCCCGCATCGCGACACTCAATAATCATATCCCTGCATCCACCCGGCTTGCTCCAGTTATCCATAGCCCTGTCGTAAAGGGTGCGATTGATCCCCTCAATCCCATACGTATTATTATACGCCATCTCCGGGAACGAAGGGACCTGGACGAGTAAATCCACACAGCCATTGATGATTCCCAACGTATCCAAATGGATTTTCTTCCCAATACTCACCTCCCCACTCTCAATCCGCTCATTCATCTCCTGAAACAGCGCCGTATACGCAGGCCCATACCGCCCTCCATACGACTCCGTCCATATACTCACCCTGTCATCACCCTCACCACCAGCAGCACCAGCAGCAGGATACTCAGCGAACTCCCCCAACCAAACCTGCAACGTAACCCACAACGCCCTCCCCCCATTCACCGTCCCATTAACAGTCCCTCCCACATCCTGACTCGGCAGTGTCCCTACCAGAAACGTCTCATTCTGCCTAACCCCATCCCAATCACCTTCCCCCACATCAACATCCACATCAATCTCCCCATTCATCAAATCCACCGTCCCATTCCTCAACACATCATAACTAAACCCCGTCTGAACCGGCTGCTCCACATACAACATATCAACATACTCATTCCACGACCAGGGATTTTCGCTCGTGGAATTCGAGTCCGGATTCACAGTGCACGGTCCATTCTCCTGGAATAACCCAATCATGGAAGATCCGCCAGGCCCGCCGTTCATAAAGATAGTGAGTGGCGATGAGCCATTATTATGGTGACGGGATGGAAAATACCAAAAAAAGGTATTGATAGGGTATGCTTGGGTGATGCTGATACCTGGAATGGAGAGGTTGGTCAAGGTGTGCGGGGGTAAGTGGATGTAGCCGGAGTAGCTGGTGGTATCGGTATTGGTGCAGATGCCGAGGGGCTTGAGTATTATCAGTAGGATGTTAAGACGGGAATTTGAAGTTGGGGTAGGGTGTAAGTAGCCCAACCTGTTTATAGGAGATTTTTGCACCCGGGAAGATTTCTGACTCGATGATGGTGAGATCTTCGGGTGTAGGAGGGAAATATTGGCCTGCGACTAGGGTGGTGATAGTGGAAATGATGCCGAGGGATGATGTGATGGAGGGCATCATGGTGCTCGTCTACTAAAGTAGTATTTATTTCAATCTGTGCAGAACTCTCAAGGAGAGTTACTATATTGCCCAGAAAGAGAAAACAGAGAAAAAAATAAAAAAGTCATAGGGATTCGAGCGAAGGAAGTAGTATAAATACTAACTAACTACTGTAGTACTACTACTGCTAGGGGTCTGATAACGCCATCGCCGATAAGCCGGCGGATCGCCGGTTGTCAGTTGTCTCACAGTCTCACTAAGTTGATCGAGTGGCCGTGCACTTGCTCCACTCCCCGGTAGCTAGGTATGTACGGGGTAAATGGCAGGCAACTGCCGAGGATATCTACTATCTAGTTTCACTTTATGACACGCGTCGACAGAGAAGAATAACTTTGGTTTATGTGGAAAGATCGACATACTGTGTTGGTTCAGAGCGCGCCATGATGTAGGTGGCTCGATGGTGATCGGTCATATACAGATCAGGTTTCGCAGGTTCCGATCAAGGTAATGCAGTCTACACAATGCTGTCGCTTTACAATAGAAAAGTCTGGAGAAGAGAACATAGGGATATATTGTCAAACTCAAATCACGCTTCCAAGCATCTTACCACGTCCCAGTATCCATCCCGAGACGCCCAGGTATCCATGCCCAAATTGAAACCAAACACCACGCACGCTAAGACTACCATTACAGTAAGACATAAAACATAACAACAAGAGCTGATAGCTCGATAAAAACAGCCGAAACACAGTGGGAATCAACATCAACATGCAATATGCAACGGGATGAATCCCAATAACAATATGCCACAAGGAATATATACAAGGAATGGCGGTATGTGCTTAGCACTCACGCAGTCTGAGGCTGCACCGTAGACTCCACTTTGACGTGCTCCTCAGAAGTGATGGTCTTTGTGGGTGCCAGATCTGTGTCAGACTTTGCCCAGGGCGAGACGTCAGACTCGTGAACGTATGTAGGAGTGCTCGCATCGGATGATGCCTCGTGAGTTTTCTCGGTCTCAGTCTCCTTGGCCTCATTAGCCTCGGTCTCGGACGCCACGTCCGAATCGTGTAGACTGGATACCGAGTGGAACTCTTCGCGGTCTGGGGACGGCTTGTTGGATGACTCGGGAGCACCGGTAGAGGACAGGTCACTCTCCGAATCGCTCTTGTGGTACAGAGGCATCTCTGTGAAGCCGTACGTGGCGTGTCCCGGGCTAGACGCCACGGAACGCCGGCGGCTGTGTGCATAGGGATTTACCGTAGGCGAGCTAGGAGTCGAAGTCGAAACAGGAGCGGGTGTCCGCTGGGGGTTTCGGGGTGGAAGGGCCGGGGGCATCCGCTTAGGGATCGTCACAAGGCGTGCCCGAGTAAAAGTGGGCGAGTGACGCTTGAATTCGACCGGCGAGATGGAATCTTCGACAGGGACAGGAGAATGGGCAGCACTCTCGCGCTTCGATACAGTGGCGCTGCTGATTTCGTGGATTTCCACATCGTCATCCAGATCCACGTCCTCGACGTCATCCCGGCTGTGATATTCGTCGTGTTCTGGGATGACAGTCTCCCAACGTCCCTCCTCGTTGTCCCAAGGACTGGTCTCAGCGCGGTCAGACACGTCACGGTAGCTCCGGGAGGAGGCACGACTGATAGAGGTTGGGGCAGTCGTGGGGCCATCATCAGTTTGGGTCCCTCGGTCCATACTGGCGTAGCTCTGTACACTTGCTCGCCAGCTATTGCGTGGTGAGCTGTCGACGCTTCGTCGGAAAGTCGCAAATATCGGGCTGTTCGGGCCGGGTTTAAACTCGAACACCTCCTGCGAAGGCCTGGATTTCGTCCCAGCTTCGCGGATAAAGAGACCCTCCGCCTCCAGCGCCTTGACACCGAATGGATCGGGGTCCTCGGGGTCGGGAATGCCGAACGAGCCCGGACCAGGCACAATCTCAACATCCCCAGGGGTCTCTCCGGGTGGCAGCAAGTTCTCATCCACAGTCGGATTGCCCTCGGCAGCTTTCACGGTGTTCAGCAGTGTTTGAATCGATGCAGGAGGCCGTTTGGCCTTGCCCGCGAGAATGTCAGTAACTGATATACGCTCGCCATAGAAGCGCTCGTTCTCATCGGTACGCTCGATAATGATGGTACCATCCACAGCAACGCCAGCATACAAACCGCGACTCTTCATGTAGGTCCAGATGGGGGCCTGGCGCTTGTGCACTTCCGAATCAAGCACGCCGCCCATCCCAACCGGACCAGCCGCAGCGCTGACTTCTCCACCCAAAGTGCATCGCACTTTCTTAAAAGCCTCCAAGGCCTCATAGGTATTGATGACTACCACGCAGTCATAGATATCCACGCCCGCCAGGAAACCGATACCAGCTGTATGAAGCATGATACCGGAAGGCGGACTCCATTCATTGGTATCTGGGGTCCGCGCCAGGAGCACACCACTACCACCCGAGCCACTGACCCAGAGGCCTGTGCGCATAGTAGTGAAGATAGCGAGACCCTTGGCGCGCTGTATAACCCTAGCGGGGATCTTCTTCAAGACCCGCTGCTTGCCCTTGGGGCGATCGATCTTGCCGGATTCTTTGCTGACTGAGCTATCGGTGCTTTGACGTTCGGCATCTTCGTTGGAATAGAAACCATCTTTGCAGAAACTTCGGAGAATTCGCGCAGCTTTGTCGCTTTCTTTATCAAGGGTCATAGGCCAAAAGGCCTCTGCGCCGACCTTGTAGGATAGCCGGTTGACGGGATCGCCCAGCTTGTCGAGGGTATGCCATGCCTTATCGAATCCTTTCTTAGATGTGCCTTTCGTCTTCTCCCACAGAGTGGAAGGCATGGTGGCAACTCAGAATCCCGCGGGGTCTCCAAGCCTACCAAGTAGAGTGACACAGGATGGAGTCCTGAGGACCGCGCAGTGGGTAAAAAGGCCGTCTATAATTGCGGGTGTAATGGCAGCAGTAGACGAAGACGGCCAAAGTTATTCACATAAAGTCCCAATGCGGCCGGGAATGTATAAGAGGCAGCAAACGGGCGCAACAGAAGTTGGGGTGACAACCGAGGAATGCGGGTCCGGAGAGTAGTAAGAATGTAAACCAACTATATAGTATCCGGAACGTCAGTGATCTGCGACGAGAGGAAATTGCATGTATTGAGGCAGGAGACGTAGGAGAGGGCCATATTATTAAAAGGTAAGAGACCTCGAGCTTTTCGCCGTGCTAGCCGTGCGTTCCAGACCTCGCCTTGAGTGGGTGGCGAGCAGCTGGAGAACCGGTGACATACGAGGAAAGGAAGGAGGGGAACCATGGGACGGGCAAATGGGATTCGGGGGTCGGCTTACCTCCGCCTGAGCCTCGCCAGGGCCACGAAAAGAAAAGAAAATAAAAAGTGACAATATATCCGACAGTGGGTGAAAGTAGGGACCAGATGAAACAACAGCTAATTTCCGTGTCCACCACAGGTAGGAGCAGGGACAGTTTATGTAGGAGATGAAAGGTAAACCCCAGAGTGGAGGGGGTGATCGACCCGTAGGACCCGTCGGTCAGATGTGCTAGAGATGTAGGCTGGATGTATGACCGAGAGCTAATGCAGTTGAGGAGAAGGAAAAAGCAAGCAAGCAAGCATGGAGCAGAAAAGGAAAAGATGGATCCTCTTTTTCGCAGAGGTAAGAGGGGAAGACAAGACTAAATGGAAGAAGTGTGCAGAGCCGTGGATGCGAACCAGGCACAAATACTCACACGGCTGGGTCGGAAGGGCATGGTTGGACTGAAAGTAAGTAAGTGGGAGGGAGGGAGGGAAGAGTGGCTGGCCGGAGATGGAACGGCCGGATGAAAAAGGTGTACAAGAAAGTCAAGTCAGTCAGCAAGATGATGACGAGAAAGTGGAGGTGGTCAGAGAGTAGGGAAGTACAAGAAAAGGATATTAATTAGGCAGTCATTCATCCATTCCATCCTTCAGTCTGGTTCCGGATGCATGGCATCATGGCAGCATCAGCGTCATCGCTTTCGCCGCGCCCGATAAGCCGATCGGATTAGATTTCTACCCTAAGTTTCTCTCCATTTATAATTTGCCCGTCGGCTGTTCGGATGTAGAAGTAGATACTTTGCTCTACATTCTTCTATCCTAATGGATATTCATCATTGTCTGTCAAATGCTGTTCTCGCAATGCTTCTCATCCGTGGAAGAAATGAAAGAATCCTGGAAGAATCCTCAACCCTCCAACCCCCAAATGACAGCGTCATCGTCTACGTACCCGATGGCGATGGCGATGGGGCCAAGAGTCCCTGAACCAGATCCCCAGCTAATCTATGTCTAGTCTAGTTTAGTCTTCTTCTTCTTGCTGCCAAAGTAAAACCCACCCTCACAATTTCCTTGTTCAAAAAATTTAAATTAAAAATCAAAAATCAAAATAAAAATTCATTTTCCGATTAACTTCCACTAGATCCGCATGAATTTTCCCCTCTTCATCCCTGCGTAACCCTCACAAGGGATGTATCAACTTCCCACCCGAAGAATATGACAGGTCCAATCGCTTCTTCTACCGTGATTTTGTTTTGCTTACGTGCAGTGGTGCTGCTTTATTTTTTTCGACCTTCTTCCTTCAGCCCCAATACCAGCCAGCCAGCCAATCCACACTCTAAACTAGTATCTACAGTAGCTAGCTAGCTCTGTCTGTCTGGCCCCCATCCATGGATGGGTAAATTGTATCCCTTCGCATTGATTTGATGTACCCATCCATCCATCCCCTCGCTTCATTTCCTTCTCGTCGCCCAGGCAAAGAAAATTCTCTGCATTAGTTTCATGTTGTCTTTTCTCCACTATCCCCTCCAACCCTAGCTGCAGAATTAAGTACAGTAACTAAGTAGGTAGTAAGTAAACAAGTCACCAGGTTAATATGGAAGTAAATAAGGATACTGTAGCTGGGTAACTAACTAACCCCCAAAGTAGTAAAATAAATAATATCCTGTCCCTGACAGGTCCAATTTCCTCCCTTTTTTCTCCACCCCCAATCGAGATCCAATAGTCTAGTCTAGTCTAGTCTAGTCTAGTAGTCTACGACTCGGGTTAGTTCCACTTCTCGCCAACGACAGGGAAGATGCGTTGCTTGGGATACTATACCTACTTCCTCCCTATCCTCCGGTACCTACAGCAGGGCAAGATGATACTCAATTGACGCAAGTGGCTCACCTCAATCGCACCGTTCCAAGGGCGAAGCACAGTTAAGAAAAGCAAAGCAAAAAAGAAGAAAAAAAAGGTACCTTGTTACAAAAGGTACCACAGACCTAGACTACTTACTACCTGTTACCTACCGGTAGGTACCTACCGTAGTATCTACTACCTCATCCAGTTAGTCCAACCTGACCAGTCCAACCCAAACCCACCCATCACCCCCTTCAAACAAAGTTTCATCATCCCGGGGCCGGGGGGCCATGGAAGAACGGGAGCAAGAACTCACGAACTCACGAATGAACCTCTCTCATCTTATTTTTCCCCTGGACACCATGTGCGCATTTAGAACGAGAAAATTTTCACTTCCCGTGTTTCTTAGCTGTTGGATATATCATATGCCATCGGTGGGATGGGATGGTAGGGGCCCACGAGGATAGGGAAAGTGGATTGATGCGGTTATTGCGGTTGAGAGGGATACTGAGTATGGAGTGGGTGACTACTAGGGAGTGGTTTGTGTATACTCCTACTTCTATACGAAACTAGGCTCATTGTATGTTGATGGGTGGGATGGTAGGTGTGTATAGTATTCCCCCTCTATGTATACTTAACTATAGTATACTTAACTATAGATAGGATAGGAGAGTAGAATATAGTAAGTAGAACAGAACATTCCACAATCCCTGACCCTGATCCTAGCCCTGGCCCCGGCAATGCGAAACAATCCGTCTACCCAGTAGTTCAGCTGAACCACAGATGGATCCCTGTCTCCTCTACTGTACTCTGTAGACAGGCTATTCTTAGACGAGACGAGGCAACTTCGGCCGAAACATCAGCTTCACCCTCGCTAATCATCCGTTCAGCCAGTCAGTCGACGATCGTAACATTTCATTAGACTAACTAACTAACTAGCGTACTATATACACCATCCCAAAAAGCCATTTCAATGATAGATAGTAGATAGTCGGGTTCCTGTCATAATACCCTAGTGGATCAATAGCCGAAGGCAGCGAGTCATGTCCCTACCTGGCCATTCTATAGCTAAGCTAAGGATCAGAAAGTTAGATAAACAAATAGATGGATACATACGTGCTTCCGTGGATGAATTGAGTTTTTGAGTTTGAGTTCTGTTCGAGTTGGTGTTCGTGTTCGTTTGTTAACACTACCAATCGTGCCTGATATGATGTATCCAACTTACTGTAGGTACGAGTGGACAGAGAGCGGGTGGGATAGATAGATCGATCGGAGGATCATGTACAGTACATAGTTGGAATGCGAACGGGAGTGTCGTTCATCACTCACTCACTCTGTGTCTGTGTGTCTGCTTCGATGTCTGTGTGCTTGTCTGGCTCGTGGAATGTATGCAGTTGGGTTGAAGGTTAACTCTACTACCTACTCTACTCTAGTATATTTATTATATCTAGAGTTCATGTGGATGAGCACTACTATGTAGTCGTCTAGAATGTAATTAAATATATTCAACCCGAGAATTTGAACATCTTCACATAAAAATCTACTAACTACAACTAATTTCTATTACCAATTACATTCCATCCTATTCCCATCCTTTCCACCTTCCACCTACTATCTACTAGATAGTACTAGATAGTACTAGATAGTATATCTATACAAATGGTATACATCCAACAAAACATCTCCATCCAGCCTAGCCCAACCCATCAATCAAACTAGTACCCATCCTAGTGCATGCAATCACCATCACACCCCTAAGTACTACTCCGTACAGACCATGCTAGTAAACATACTACATCTACCCTCATCTCGATCCGATTCGATGAACCGGCTGGAAGTTCCCGGTGCCTGGGTCCCACGCTGGACTACTGTCTAACGGATCGGGATCCCCGGACGGATTATAATCGACTAGTAGCTGGTATTAGTGCGTGTGGGTATATGTCAGCGTGACAGGGGGATAAGTTAACTAGTTAGTAGACATGTGTCATATTGAGATTTAGCTTGTCAGGTCACTACGTAGTAGGTGCCGAATGAACTCCCGAGTTCAGCTGTCTACTCTGTAGCTAGCTAGCTGGATAGTTCGTGTGAACTACTCTCCTACTCTATCAGGCAATTGCTCCTGTCCCGATCAGTGATTCGTGCTGTCGACCCACTGCAACAGGTATAGCCAGCCACGGATAGAGTTAAGCATAAGTAAATAGTACATCCACATCAGCAAGGTTATGATCCGCGGGAGATAAATGAAATGAGAAATAAGGTCCAGCCGGTTCAGCTGACACTGGACACAAGTCTAGTCGTAAACATACACACACACAATGGTATACCTATTGTTGTAACCAATCATCTGTCCTACTCCACCTCTACAGAGCACCCAGCTCCTTCAGCTTGCCGATCAAGCCGTCGACATCCTCGACCTTGCCACCGCCCTGGCGAGCGGGGGGTTCTGGAACGGTAAGTCAGTAAATGCAACAGCGCAGGGGTGCACATGACAGGGCAGGGACTAAACTCACCAGTAACCTTCAGAGTCTTCAAGCGCTTCTTATCCTCAACACCGAAATCCGCCAATGTCTTCTTCTCCAAAGGCTTCTTCTTAGCCTTCATAATGTTCGGCAGCGTAGCATAGCGGGGCTCATTCAACCGCAAATCCGTAGTGATAACCATGGGCAACTTAGCCCGCAGCGTCTCAACACCACCATCCACCTCGTGCGTCACCTCCACCGTACCATCCGCATCCTTGATATCGACTTTGCTGGCCTGCGTCGCCTGCGGCCACCCCAACAGACCCGCCAGCATCTGACCGGTCTGGCCCTGGTCGCCATCAATTGCCTGCTTACCCAGCAGCACCAGGTTAATGTTCTCAGACTTGACCACACCCTGCAGCATCTTGGCGATCGTCAAGGGCTCGGGACCACCATCGGGGCTGTCGCCGACATCGACGTGGAATGCGCGGTCGGCACCCATGGCCATAGCGGTGCGGAGGGTATCGGCGCACTTGGCTCCGCCAGCGGAGAGGGCGAGGATGTTTTCGACCTTCATGGGGCTCTGGTTCTTGGTGCCGCGTTCGCGCAGGCGGATGGCTTCTTCGACGGAGAGTTCATCGAACGGGTTCAGGGAGTGCTTGACACCGGCGGTTTCGACGCCGGTGTTGGCCTTGTTGACGCGGGGTTTGACCTATCATGATCAGTGATGTTCAGCATGATTATCGTGCTGCAGTCTCGTAATTGTGTGGTGAGTGTAGGTGGTGGTGCCGACGGAGCACAATTGCAGACTGCGCGTGCGGGCAACTTTCGCTCGGAGATGTGACTCTTCACCGAGAACGGAGCAGGAGAAGCACGAGGCGACAAAAACCAAAACTCACCGCATAGTCAATAACCCGCTTAACGGGGACGAGAATTCGCAAGCCGCTCATTATGAAAATAATATGTGGTAAAGGGACTTCGGAGGAAGTAAAGGGACAATGGAGGGGAGGGACAGCAGCGTGAGGGGCGTCGACTCTTAAGGCGAGCAAGAAGCCGTTTTGAGGGAAGAGTAGAGACACCGATCCGTCGGAGCAGCTGCTGCTCCATCCGCGGCAGAAAACAGGTGACCTGGGCGGAGAGTCCTCCGAGGCGGGCCGAGATTCCATCCATGCTTGTTGCTCTTCCGCCGCCAGCCGAGGTTAGCCTTTTCTATAATGGGACTTTGTACAACAAGTTGACAAGTTTAGCGGGGTAAATGGTATTCAAATGACCTCATAGGGTGGGTGTTGGTTCTATTCGAATATCTGGGTATATTGTGCTTGTTTTACTCTATCCGCATGGTGTCGGATCTGGCAGATGCCATCGCTCTATCTATAGGTGTTGATGGTATAACCGCTTCACATGTGACAGTACCTCTTGAGGCGGATCACCAGGTTTCCTGCTTATACCGTCCCGTCTTCTCCATGCCAAGCAGATATTGCTCGGCCCCTTGTTCGTTGAATCGATCGGTTTCCACCTCTGCGCCGTGCTGGAATGCTTCCGTCAGCGCCTCCCTTACTGCCTTGGGCATCTGTCCAGAGGAGCCGCAGATATACACCGACCCTGCCATGTCATGCAGCAGCTTGAATAGCAGTGCATAGTTCTGGCGGATTACATCTTGCACGTAGACTTTTTGTTTCTGATCCCGAGAGAATGCCGTGAGTACATTCAACTTGGTCAGCTGGCCGAGCTGCTGCCATTCGTCTTCGAAGAAGAAGTCTGCCTCTCGATTGCGACCGCCGTAGAGGAGAAGCGTGGGTCCGATGCTAAGCTCAACCCCGGGATTTTCCTCCTGGTATGCCTTGATAATTGCTGCTTTTTCCCACAGCATAGATCGCAGTGGGGCCAGACCGGTGCCGGGTCCGACTAGGACAGTTGGGCCAACAAGCTGGTTGACTGAGGAATTGAGTCCACCACGTTGCAGCTGTACCTTAAGAGTACTCCCAGGTCGAAGCGCAGATATATAACGCGTACATACACCCTGTCTGATCTTTTTGATGACGGTCTGGTACTTCACAATCGCAATCATCAGCTCAAACTTAGTGCCGCCCTCAGGACCCCTCTTCAGCTCGCCACCACTAGCGATGCTGAATTGTCTCCCCTTGAGGACAGGAAACACTGAGATAGCGTGCTGCCACGGCACCTTGACCGAGTCAAACTCATGCAATACTTCCAGAATACTCCGTCTCGGACGGGTAGTGTAATCCCACAGCTCGTCAAGATACTCGGGACTAGTATAAGTGAACTCCAGTAGACGCTCCTTGTGCATCTCATCGCTCGTGTAATGCGCAATCTCCGCAAAAAAGGATCGCCGCGGAATAGCCTGAATATCGAGGTAGTCTGTCAGGAGCGCCCTTAGCGTCAATTGGGGGTAGGAGTCAAGACCCCGAATAGGCGGCAAAGGGAGATCATCAGCAGGAATATGGCTATTAGGAACCAGGCTGATGAGCTGATCAGCTTGTTCTTCCCAACCCATCATCTGGATCAGAGCATCCACGTCGGTGGAGAAGTTCTTGGGGGTAATGCATAGCATATCCCCAGGGACGTAGGAAGTATGTTCAGGCACAGTAAGAGATACATGGCGCACATCCTGCCAATGTTTCTGCGGAGTCAATCGCTTATTCTCCCTAAGCGTTGCCGTCAGGGTATCAGGCAGAGGCCGCAGATCATAATCCAATCGAGTCAACTTTGGATTATCATCAGGCGGGGGCAGGTTCTCATGTGTGCCGGGAACTGCATGTCCTTCCTGTGCTGTCGAAGCACCTCCCTCCTGGAGCTTCAGAATCCATTTCGGCGGCAACTGAACATCATCCGGTATCGGTTCCAAACCATCAGGCAGCGGATACGTCTCGAGCAAATGTGTACGCAGACCGGTCAACCACGGAATGAACGTCCCTTCGAGTCTATACAACACAATTAGCAGACATCCACCAAACAGAGAGAAATAGCTAAACCCACCCCTCCGGATGCTGCTGATCCGCCTCCCCAGCATCATATATCTCATTCGCACCGAGCTGTAACAGCCTCTTATGTAGTTTGCGTGCCGCCCAATTGAACCTGTCAAGCCAGCCAGTCAGCCATCACCATGTCCTCATCCAATCCATGTATGAGATAGAGCAAAACCCACTTCGGATAAGAACTATCCCCCAATCCAAACGACGCAAACCGAACACCTTCCAAAAAGTCCCCCGGAAGCCTCTTCAGCAACAACGACCGCCAAAACGACCTCGCATTGGCCGGGAAGTCTCCCTGTCCTGTCGTCGCGACAACGAATATAACGAGCGTATGCGATTTCAATACCTCCTACACACAGCATGATCTCGTCAGCATGCGTCATATTACCAATATAGCATACAATTGAAAGAGTGGAAACTCACCGGCCTATACACATTCATCTCCCCCACATGGGTCCGGAAATGCAATCTCTCCGCCAACGCCCCCAGCTCCTCGGCGACTTCCTGCGAATTGCCCGTTTCGGAGCCATACAGGACGAGAGCTGAGCGCCGCGGTGGGAGGGATTGGCTGCCGTTCATTGTACCTAAGTACTGCGCCCTGTACTATCTCCCTGATAGCGTGGTGTGGTGATGGGGGGTTGGCTATCTGTCACTTGCGGCTTATCGCGGGTCTTCTTTTTTTTCCTTCCCCTCGTTTTGGCTTGAGGGGTTCTATCCGATCGTCCAGTTGGCGCGAGATAGCGGGATGACGTCATCCCGAGGATCGGAGAGGATTAGGAGCGTATATGGGGAGGTAGATAGATGGGATATTTATGAATTGCTGGTGTTGGGGATGGGGATGTGCTGTATGGACATAGCTACGAGGAGGGGAAAACTGGTTATTGTGAGGTTGTACTGGTGTAGGGCCAAAGAGACACCCGTAATGTCAAATACTCCGGCAATGGAAATGAACATGCCCGATTAATCATAGGAGTAAAACCGAAGTAACCGCTAGATTGATAAGATCAACCGACAAAGAATGATAGTTTTGAACAAAGGGTATCTCAAGAATCCAGCTCGATCTAATAAGTATCCTCCTCGCCGCCACCACCACCATCTCCGAACCCATCATCCCCGTATTCATCATCACCACCATCAAAGTACTGCTCAGCGTTATAATCCCCACCCATCTCATCATCATCATCCTCAAAGTCATCATCTTCAATCTCCTCCTCGCCTTCCTGCTCCTCCTCCGGATCCAGAATATCCCCGTCCCCATCATCATCATCCTCAGCCCCCTCACCCTCCTCACCACCAGCCTTCGCCCGCTTCGCCGCATCGTCATCCTCCTCTTCATCATCGTCCTCAAATCCCCGCTTCACCCCAGCCCGCGCCACCTGCGGCACGTACCCATCCATCGCGGCATCGGGCTTGAAAGTCGGCTGAATCGTCTGCCACAATTCGCGGGGGAAGAACTTCATAACTACAGACACAAACCCATTAGCGCCATGTCACTCTCCCAACTTCCTCATATAACATCCGAAAAAGAGAATGATAAACTCACCATACTGCCTCCCCTGTAACCTCGGCAACGCCCTCTTCTTCTTCTGATACTTGCCCGAATAACTCGGCATGCCATGGAACGGATCGAAGTTCGCCCGCGCCGCACTATCCTTCTTCATCGTCGACCCCGCCCCCTCAAGAATCGAGTAATAGGGGCCATCGTGGAACCGTTCCCGGAGAGTGCGATAGAAATCCACCTGCAATTGTTCCTGCGAGGAGAGCGGTCTGGCGCGAGGGACGGTGTATTTCTGTTTGTACAATGACATGATTAGAGCCCCTTCCTTTCCTTAATCGAAGAATAGTAGCAGCAGCAAGCCAGACTGCTATGACAATAACAACAACAGCAGCAGTAGCGGCAGGGTGAATGTGAACGACATCGGCAGACGCAACGAAGCACCCATGTGACAAAGCAACCAAACAAAGAAGCAAATATATCACATCACATCACATCGACCCAAAACATACAGGGAACAAAGGCGTCGGCGCCGTATCATTTTCTCCGCTGGGATCTGCCTCCCAAGTGAATTCGGCTCCGGGGAGCTTTCTGCCTTTCTTTGCGCCGAATCGGGACATGTCGGGCAATAAGATTATTCACTGGGAATAAACCCCTTATTGTCAATCGGTTGGAGATGGCTCCGTTGGGGGCCAGGTTGTTTAACGTCCAGGAAGGAAAAGGCCGAAGCGCTGGCGGGCGTTCACTGCGCCATGATCCAATGGCTGAGAAAAAAGTTCCGGCCGAGCTTGGATGTGGCTCACCGCCTGCGGAGATCTGCGCGAAATGAGTAATTAGGGTATCGGGGCGGGAACCCTGGGGTGGCTGGATGGGCCAATCAGAGGGCAGATGCGATGAATGTACTACTTAAGTACTACGTAGTAGGTAGGATTAATTACTGATGAAGATTTCAATGCTTATTATTGCTGAAAAACTATGAAATAATACAGGTATCTAGTGGCATAATCGTAAATCGTCCAGTGAGCTGGGAAACGCAGTGCCGCCCTTATAGGCCAACGGTTGCAACCTGGTTTGCAGTCTGAGATACAGGCCCCCATGGCCCCTCGTTCACCCGTTGCCGGAGAGTACGCACGATATCCTCGAAACCTTCCATTTGACCACCGTTCTCATTCAGGCAGTCATACAGCGCAACCAAGACCTCGTGCTTCGCCGTTGCCACTTTCCAGACCGCGTGCTGGGAATCACCTGCTCCGCCGCCGACAAATTCGGCATACGACCGAGGAGGCTTGAACAGATATGGCAGGAGGATAGTCAGGGCTGGCGGTGTCAGCGCTGCCCAAGCACCCGATGACGGCAGAACTCCCTGTGTAGCCGGAGATAAACTCTCCAAATCTTGTTCGGTGGGAAGCTGGTATCGGGAAGTCCCTGGGACAGACGAGGTGACTTCGCCCGTTAAGATCTGCCAATTAGCGGTGATGAGGGATCTCATGAGCGATATTGACGCCAACGAAATGTCCTTCATAGCGAGAATATCCGCCGTCGCAACTACATCCGTCCAAAAGTTAGTATGCTGATTAGTGTACATGAAGTACAGCGCGCGGGCGGCCGCGGCCTCTTTGTGCCAATCTGTCGGCATCTGGCCAGATGCATTCAGCTCCATCGAGTCCGTAAGGTCCTGCTTCACTGGGCCGTGGAGGATCTTGGCCAGCACATCCAAAGCCTCCTTGTTTGGAGGACTGGTCGGCAAGGCCAGAACAGGGTTCAGTCCTTGCTTGCTGGCTTCCACGAGCAAAACGCGGGGCAGACAGGAAAGTACGTTCAACTGCCCGCTAGGAACAGGCCCATGCGCCCACTGAGAGGTCGAAACCGTCACCGAGGCAGCAATGCGAGACAGTATCCGATCAAGTAGATACTGCGGGTTTTGCAGGAAGTGGTTGGGATACAGCTCGGCATACTGCGCAACGTAAGTCATGATAGGGCCACACAGGTAAGCCAAATCGACCGCGTCGAGCTTTGACTCATCCAAGTAATACTCCAACAACGTAGAATGGATGTTATGCGAAATGAGGAAATCCAGTGCGGGAGAGGAGAAGGTAGACGCTGACTGCACAATGGTCCGAGCAATGAGACCAGGAGCATCAATCTCCAGAAGATCATGAAAGAAGTTAATCAAAGTCATATGCATCAGCACGTCATCCTTGTCGACCATATGGCAGGCAGCGAAATGAAGGAGGCCATTGCTCTGGTATTTCCTCTCAACTTCTGGCACTTGTGGTTTCGAGATGATGTCCCAATGCAGCCGACCCGCCTTCACAAGCAGACCCATCAACCGTCCCTGGGCTACAGTCTTGTCGCGCTTGGACAGACTTCCTGGTCCGTTATCCGTGAGACTGCACAGGGAAAATAGCAGCCCGTAGACATCCTTATCCGCGAAAATCCGCCTCCAAACGAGTCCTTGACCACCGGTGGCCTCATCGCCTTCTTGTCCAGCATTCTCGAGCGGACTGGCCGAGTCGACCTCCAAGAGCTCCCAGATTGTGTCAAACGCCGCTTGTGCTACGGCCGTAGAAGATGTCGACAACCACAGCTCCACCAAGGACGAAACGAGTTCCGGATCGCCGGCAACGATGGCGGCATCACTAGCAGCGTGTCCGGCCTTGCGCAGCAACGACAAAGCCAACAAATTGATAGGTTCCGAGGGCGCTTTGAAACCGGCAATGAAGTTGATTGGAGGATCGACAGAGTGAAGGTCGGCGAAGCTGAGATACGTAGTAGCCTTGACACCAAGAGCGGTAAGAGGAGTCGGGTCCTCCTGCAAGACGGGGAGCAGCTGCGATATCTGGATCATAAGGGTGGCGGGGACTCTGCGATCGACGTTCTCGGTAAGCTCGAGCTTCAACTTTTCGAGAAGAGACGTGTCCAGACGAGTGGAGGGTTCGCGCTGCACCTGTTCCAGGTGCTGTCGGACCTCATCGTAAGTAGATGGAACGGCCATGTTGAATCCAAAAAGATCCACGGTGATGCGCTCCGTGGGGAAGTGAGAGATGAGAAAGGCAAGTCAGGAACGGCTTTCTTATCCTCAACGGCGGGGAAAGCTGGGTGCAAACGGGACAAACACCCATGACATCTCCGCCAGTCTCCCCGACGATAAGTTCCAGACCATCACAGCTACCTCTCACCATTTCCACTCGGTATACCATCTCCTCCTTCAAGGATATACCGATCATCATGTCTGATCAGCCAGAATCCCTCCTATCGCCTAAGAACTCCGACTCCGGCCTCCATATCCATCTCCACCCTCTGATCCTCCTGACCATCTCAGACCACATCACCCGTCATGCCGCCCGCTCTCAGCAAGGACCTATAGTGGGAGCGCTTCTAGGCCAGCAGAACGGACGCGAGATCACCTTGGAGCACGTTTTTGAATGTATCGTAAACGAGAATGCAAATGGCGAACTCCAGATTCCCCAAGACTGGTTCGTGGAAAGAGTCAAGCAATGTAAGTCCCCTCCTCCTTATCTCAACCATCTACATATATCATGGACTCGCTGACCCCCTCCAAGTCAAAGATGTACACAAAGCCCCTGCCCTTGACCTCGTCGGCTGGTGGTCAACTGCTCCTCCGACCGGCCCCAACACCGCGCACCTCCCAATTCATCGCCAGATCCTCCACAACCACAACGAGTCCGCCGTGTTCCTCGCATTCCACCCATCCCTGGTACACGACGCATCCTCCAACGGCGGCAAGCTCCCGGTGACAATCTACGAAAGCGTATACGAGGGCGAAAATGCGACAGAGAACAGCAAGACAATGCAGGTCGATGGAGAGGAACAATCCCTAACGATCCGATTCCGCGAACTGCCCTACTCCGTCGAAACGGGCGAAGCCGAGATGATTGGCATCGACACCGTAGCACGAACAGCCAGAAACGCCGCCGTAGACACACCAGGCACCTCCTCTCTCACAAAACAAGCAGCCGGCAAAGAACCCACCAAGGACCAGTCAGACGTGCTCTCCCCGGAGGAAGAAGAACGTAAGAGCCACCCCACTCACCATCCTACACTCGAACCCAACTCATCACTAACCAACCCAACCCACAGTAATCGCCAGCCTCACGACCCGCCTCAACGCCATCAAGACCCTCGATTCCCGCATCTCCCTCATCAAATCCTACGTCGCCAGCATATCCGCAGACACCCCCAGCTCAACAGCCACCCTCTCCCACCCCATCCTCCGCAACATCAACGCCCTCCTCTCGCACCTCTCCCTCCTCACCCCTGACGAACAAAGCGCCTTCACAGCCGAAGCCATCGCCCAAAGCAACGACGTCCACCTCGTCTCTCTACTAGGACAACTCGGCCAGAGCATCAGCGCGATGCGCGAGCTCGGGAAACGAACCGCGCTGATGAACAGCGTGAGACGGACGGCGATGTCGCGCAAAACGCAACAATTATCGTGGCAGAATCGGTTCGCTGAACCGTTCTCGACGGGGGACGGGGTGAGCCATGGATAGGAAGATATCGGCGAGATAGATTTAATCGATGTAGCTGATAGTAGTAGTAGTCTTAACGAAATGAATGCATGATCATACCCTGATTGACTTCCATCAACATCAACAATGTTTTTGCTATGTAGGCTTGTTCCACTGTCGATATCATTGTAAACCAATAAATACATTTCACACAATGCAGTCACGGTCATGAATGTATAGATATCTATGGTATATCGGAAGTAAAGATAATATTGTACAACGAAAGTATCTAATCTAATCTAATGTAATCTCTATCTCCGCAACATAGATAGCAAGATAGTATAAGTATCATAGTATGAAGAACGAAAAAAAATGAAAAGAAGAAGGGAAGAAACAGGCCGAGTGATATATAAACAACACACCCTAAGCCCTCCTTCATCCCACGCGTGAGAAGTAAAGCTCCCAGGATAATCAGAGAGATGGAGAGACACAAAGATGAATAGTAGGTAAGTAAATCCGGTCTCATCAAGAAAAAAACCTCAATCTTCATACCGTGATATCATATAGCTAGAGAAAATCAAACAATCAAAAATGGAAAAGGCAGCCCAGGAAAAGTTCAGAGGGTATTATACGACAGATGCACGGAACAGACAGACAGATATAAAAATAAGCCAACGCCAAGAGACAAAGATAAACACGGCTAGCTACTTAGCTAGCCGTGGCGCTCTCAACTCTACCCAGTGGGGATGATGATTGAGGAACGCGCAAGAAAGTGAAGAACATGCATGAAGACTTAAGGGGTCATCATACTCCGAGGGTACCGGAGTTTTCTTTTGTTGCTCGTCGAAATCAAATCTCGTCGCTTTACCTTCGTTGTTGTTGTTGGTGGTCACTGTCGTAGTGCGGGGGAGGGGGTTGGTAGGATTCTGGGAGAGGGATAGGAGGCTGTTCTTGCAGCGTGGTGGTAGGGTGGTAGGGGTTGTTGAGGTCGGAAGGATGGTCTGGGTAGGGTGGATTGGGGTGGACGGGCTCGTGGTAGTGGTCTTGTTCTAGGTGGGAGTTCACGAGGTAGGGGTTGTATGCGTCCTCCTCGTAAGGGGAGTACGGCCGGGCAGTATGCGTGGCTGTTGGCTCCAGGAGGGAGGTTGCGCTGAGTCGGTTATGGTTGTAGAAGCGGTTCGGGTCCGCTTCGTCCTCGAGCGGAGGCACGAGACCACCACCGGGGCTTGGCTGAGCGTGCGACAGAAGGACCTGTCCTTCTTCACCGGGGGGACTGTAGCGTC